TCGGTATGACCACCCAGCTTCACGCAACCCTACAATGTGACCACGTTCAAAATCGTTTAGTTGTCTGTAAGGTCTTCGATATCGTCATAATGGCATCTTTAGTTGCTTTTTACGGAATTACAATGGCAGCAACAAAGAAAGATAAATATTCCGCCTCTGTTACTAGTTTTATACTTTGCGAGTTGTGCACTAAAAACGTGTGCTATGATCACAATTCATGTTCATTTGCCTTGAAACTTTACATTTTCGATAAAGATGTTTTTGCATACCAAATTTCGTCATGATCACATAAGTTCTTCTTGCTGCTTCGATTTTTTTCAAAAGATCTATATTTATTTAGTTAATTAAGAATACAACATTTTTAACATTTGCAATCTATTATAAATGTAATATGATATAAATCTACATGTAAATATAGCAAAGTCAATCTACATGCAAATAAAGCAAAGTCACTGATGATATTATTTAATTATAATTCTTCATCAATATCATTTTCTACAGAAAGAAATGCACAATCATTCAAATTTTCTTTCTTAAAGACGTAACTTCAAACATCTTTTTATTAATTTAGGCTAAAAAACTTTCTGCAGCAACTACTGATACCAAAACTACAAAATTACAGCAGAGTAATCCATCGATTAGAATAAGTATTTGTAAAAAGTAATGCAGCAATCTTTTTTGAGGAAGAGGAGCCCTGTCACTCTAAAAATTAGAACCTGTAAGCTGCACATTTCTATTGTCATCTCTTGAGTGTTAATGCAGACTGATGGCTTTATGCTTTATTCTTAGGTATCATTTGCATTAAGGCAATTTGCAAATTTTTGCTAATTAGTTCCTATGCAATTTTTCAAGATAATGAAGGAATGACTAGTATGCATGCAATGTTGAGCTGCTCAAATCATTGATTCTTTGAGCTAAGTGTATGACCTGAAAGCAAATTCCAGAATTTTTATTTATTTATTTATATAAAACTATTTTTCTAGATCCATTGAAGCTTTATTGAAATCTTCACAATTTAACATTTATTTCTTTTATCCAATTCTAATAGTTTTGAGTACAGGTTCACTAAATAAGACCGTCCCTAAATCACAAGCCTCAACCCTGGTGCCTAAGATAGATTCCAAATTAAAGCAGATCTCTGAAACAAACCAAGAATTTTTCTATACCTTTTAAAAGACTGATTGTTAAGAGTTGAATGGTGTTGAAACAGCCTACAAAAATCACTTTCTGGGCCCACTTGCTTAAAGGCACAATATAGTATTTTAATGTTTTACCCATATTACTTCACTGGATAATCAGTGTTTCCGAAGCAATTTGGCTGTCACCTTCCAAAAATTAGCCATTTTGGTGACTACATACATTACATATCCCTGGCTTGAATGTTTTATCCATTCCAAACTATTTCTGTGAAAACAGCTATATTTTCTTAAAGGTGCTGCATCTTAAAATCCTTTTCTTAGTTACATATTACATAAAATCTTATTTTTTACTTAATTTTATTTTCCTATTTATAAAATTAAATGCAAATCAGAACAGAATTTTCTACCATTTTATAATTTCATATAAATTTAGTACAATACAGCATTCAAACCAAATTAATATTTTTTCATGCAAATGAACTTTCATGATAACAATAATTTTAAACAAAGTAATTTAATTATCTTTTTTGAGGAATTTGCATATAATTTTTTTATACCTGTGATTGATCATTTTGTGTAATTTTCTAGTGAAAACATATTAAAATCCATTCATGATGTTAACAGAAGTGTTGCTTGTAAAAATACAAATAGCATATTTAATTTCATAACAATTGTATTAATTCAAATACCGTCTTTTTCTGAAAATAAGACATCCTCCGAAAATAAGCCCTATTGTGATTTTCAGAACTTTTTGTAAAATAAGACATCCTCCGAAAATAAGCCCTAGTTAAAATAATGTGACAAAAAGAATTCTTTAAAAAATGCTGTTGATTTATTAAGTATAAATAATAATATGTTTAGCTTTCTTAATACTCATATTTCAGAGAAATGTTTGAAACAAAATATTCCGAGAAATTAATTGTTTACATCTACAGTTCGTTTCAAATTAATTCTTGGAATTTATCTTAACCAGTGAATTTATCTTAACCAGAATTATCTTTATAGGAATTTATCTTAACCAGATTTATCTTAACCAGAATTTATCTTAACCGTTTGCCTCGAGAGAGATACGTTCACAGGAAAGGCATCGTCATCTGTTAGCGTCGGCAGACTCTCGTCATGGGGTGAAATTTGGGCTGAAACCGTAACCCCCGAGACACATACGACAAAGCGACCTTTTTCCAATTTCCACAGAATGAGTCGAAAATCAAAAGGGGTGATTGATGGGTTACTTATCTTCTCAGCGGTGTCGCATTAGGATCACAGCGGGGCTGTTTCAGGAAAGTAAAGGATGGGGACATTTTCTTCGAATAGCTACCCCTCAACATATCTTATGAGATCCACAGCAGCTTTCTCCCTTTCTATTAACGAACAAAAGGATTTGAATGCTATCTTTTCAATCCTTAACGATTCAATTCTTTTCATTTGTTACAGGCCATCAAGAAAATAATAAAACAAAATTCAAGGACATTTCAAATACTAGCTAATGCCTTATTTTACTTTATATAAAGCTTTTTCTTGACAATTAAAATTACATTTACATTGTAATAGATTGCAATAGATTTGGGTTGGGTCGCAGGAAGTGGAAGTGGGGTTGGGTGCAAAGGGCAAAAATATCTGCTCTAAGTACTACACCAGTCCTTTGTGTTTTATGTTGCCCCTTAGGGGGTCGTTATTCACCATCCTTCAGTGATCAGATTGACAGGTACGCTGTTCAATCTGATTTGAACAGAAGTTCTAAATAGGCTTTCACAGGTGGTGAAAGGGGAAAGAAATACTCTGAGCCCAGTTTTAGACACAAAAAGTTTACGTTTGAATGCGAAAAATGGCATGAAATGTTTGCGATTTTCCTAACGGCGAACTGGTTAAAAATACAACATAAGGCAGCAGTCTACATTGAGCGACAGTGCAGGTATTTCATTTTCAGTCTTGTAAGTCTGATTATTTTCCTCATACGTAATTTTATTTAAAAATAAAGTGAATAATTTTTAACCCCAGTTAAAATGAGTACAAAACGAAAGAGCTATTCCGTCGAGTACAAAAAGGGAATCGTGGAAGACTCCAGGGATGTAAATCTTGTAGCATTCTGTAAAGAGAAGATACTGGATCTCCGTATGGTTCGTAAATGGCATGCAGACTACGATTACCTGTGTCAACTGGTGGACCAAGGAAATGAGAAAAACTGCAGAGTTGGATCAGGTCGGCAGCCATTATTTTCTGAGTTGGAAGATTGCATCTGGAAATGAATTGCAGGCAGGAGAGCAATGGCTTTGGTTGTACACAGGGCTGATATTCAAACATTTGCCCTTGAAACAGCAATTGAATTCGATATATCCACAGAAGAATTTAAAGCATCGTCACACTGGTTGGACAACTTCCTTAAACGATACGAACTGTTTCTAAGGAGATCAACAACATTGTTTAAGCTGGAAGACAATGAAGTTGTTATGCGTGCACTTGCGTTTAAGCTTTTTGTTGATGGCATCGATTTTTCGAAATACCAAACTCTCCAACGTGATTGCTATGGATGAGATTGCGGTATTCCTAGGCCAAGGAGCTCAAACGACAGTTCACCACAAGGCTTCTTTGTCAATTTATGTTCCTTCTACCGGTTACGAAAGTGCACATATTACCTGTATTTTGGCGATTTGTCTAGATGGCAAGAAAGTATTGCACATTTTTAATCACTAAAGGTAAAAAAGACCAGATTCAACGTGTTTCAGGAATTTATGTCATTGAAAGTGAAAAAGCAGCTGGTGCACCCAAGCAGTTATAAGAAAGTGGGTTGATTTTATGCTGCCACCACTGTTGAGGGGTCAGAATAGAGGTTTACTAGTTTGGGATTCAGCCAGTACTCACTCACCGTGCTAAAGACATGAAAAACTTTCTTGCTGAGAGGAAGATTGATCAAATAATGATTCCGGCAAGGAATGACTGGTTACCTCCAGACACTTGACATTGCAATAAACAAGCCATTCAAGCATTCATTTGCGGATGGAAATCAATGAATATATTGAAAAACAGAATGGTGAGAAATCATCGAGGTAATTTTGTAAAACCAGGCTTACAAGAAGTTGTGAATTGGGTAAAAAATTCATGGGACAAAATAACTGTTAGTGATGTTTCCAATGCACTACGAACAGGCTACTTAGACAAGAAGTATTCATTTAACGATAGCTATATCGCAAGACATGAGAGATTCAGACCAATGATTCAACAGGAAATGGATTTAGAAGAAAATCAGAATATAATTCAGAATTTTATTTATGAAGATGTTCCAGAAGAAGATGACATGACTGTAATTGAATAAATTTAAATTTCTATATTTAGTAAATTTAAATTGTGTAAAATAAATATTAAAATAAAAATATATAAATATACTTTTATTTTTGCCCTCCCCCGAAAATAAGCCCTAGCGCGTATTTTGGACCAAAAAAGAAAGTTAGACATGTCTTATTTTCGGAAAAAGATGGTAATTCAACATAACAGCACACAGATATTATTAATATTCTTTCACAAGGAAGTCAAACTAATTTGAACTGTGTGTGTGTGTGATTACGGCAAAGCCTCGAGGGCTATCTGTCTAAGAGGAGGGATGCCTTCGTGGAGGACTTTCTAAGAGAAACTGGCTCGTATACACGTTACACATGGGGAAAACCACGAAAACGCCCATGCAGCCAGCCCGTTCGTTGGATTCGAACCTCGGACCGAACTACCAGTGTTCAGCGACTTACCGCTCGGCCACTGGTGGCCTAATTTGAACTAATTTGAAATATTTAAACTTGAGATGTTTCTTTTAATATAAAAATTATAACTGTATACTACCTAGTTTGAAGGGTTTCAATTATAATATAAATATGAATATAAAAATAGGCATTAACAAAGATAACTGTAATAAAAATATATATGTATTTTCTGCACAATCAAAATAATATTGTTGTCTAAAGCCTTACCAGGAAGATCAACTGCAACAGCATAGTATCCAAATGCTGCAAGGTTTTTCAATGTACCTAATCTATTCCAAGTTTCAGAAGTATATGCTTGTCCATGTAACAGAAGAACTGATAAATTACGAGTTTGTTTTCGTTCAGGTTTTGCATATTTATAATGCACTTTAGCATCCTGAAAGGAATAAAAAAACATATTCAGAGACTATTATATTAATAAAGAATACTTTCAAAATATAACTTTAAGAAAAAACATAAAAAAGAGTGTTTTATAATACTTCCCACTTTGTGATCAATTTTGTTTCATTTTGTATTAATCAAATATTTAGTTAATAAGCTTAGTCAGCTATAATAAATATTTCATGCTATAGCCTGTGGTATCATTCTATCTTTTAACTAGACATGATTGTTTAGAATGATAATGGGAAGATATTCAATTGTACTAAATATGATGGTAGACTGAAAAGTTTCTGAAGTGACAATCAAATTTAATTTATTTCATTCAACTAATATTTTACTCTCTCAGGATAAATCTCTCAAAGCTCTATGAAATTAGTTCAATGTTTCTCTAATTTTCTGATTCCCTCCTTGAAGTGACTTCCTTCAAGCTCATCCTTAAACACCTCATCATTTGACAAAATTTTCTTTTCAGCAAAGGAAGTTTGAGATTTGGAAATGAAAGTAAGCTTGAAAGAGCCAGATTATGTAATGGAAAGGATTTAGAACTTTAAATTTGACCTTTTTGGATTGAGAATATATTGAATAACCAAAGCCATTATAATGTTTTAGAAACTTAAATTCGCTAGTTTAGAAGCCATATCAAAATCATGCACATTGCAGAAAATAATATAAAATATAAAACTGATAATAAATAAGAATAATTATATGGGTGAAATTTGCTTATGTCATCAGAGAAATATCCACAAAAACTGTAATTATATTAAAACCCGAAGAAGAGAACATATATTTTTTAACAAATAAATAGAAAGAATTTTTTAAAATGAAAAAATCTGAAAATATCTAAAATTTTAAAAACTGCAAGCTGATTTGGCCTTTAGATTATAATTCAACAGCTGAAATAATCTTAACCTAGAAGTTACGACAGGCTTATGAGTTTAAAATTCAGTTCCCAGAATTTCAAAGAAATAATAATCATATTTCATAAATTTGTATTTTTAAAATGATTTAGACAAAGTTATCATGTCAAATGGAAGAGGAAGGTACTGATATTATCCCATCGTAATTCAGCATCACATTTAGAAGCTTATTTAAAGAACAAAAAAATTAATTATTTAAAATATAACTATGTGCTTTTTTAATTGAATCACCTGCACATGAGGATTCCAATAAATATCTTCTGCAAACTAAGAGGTGTAAATATCTGTTTCATCAGAGCGAGAAATTCTGATTAAAAGAGTTCTTAGAGATTTAAAAAATATTTTTTAATTTAAAGACAATCAAAATTTAAAATTTCTAAGTTTATGATTTTAAAACTGTTTCAGCAAAATGAAAATATATGCAACAAATTCACACAAAACTTTTGCCAACGAGTGGCTAGCTGTGCGATGCCATTGCAGTAAAACTCAGGAGTCTTGAACGCAAAGAAGTCCATGAGGGCCTTTTCGAGGTCTGGTTGGTTGTTTAAGGGATTTCTAATGAAGATGGTTGTCCGGGGAATGGAAAAGGTGGTAGTCTGTTGGCACGAGCTCTAGAAAGTATGGTGGTTGAGGTAGTGTCCCCCAGCCAAGTTGTTGGATGGTGTCCCTGGCCTCCCCAGCCACATGCAGCCTCGCCTTGTCATGGAGGAGGAGTACACCATTACGATTGAACAATGATGGCTCTTTTGCATCAGTGCCTGAGGCACACGTTCCAACTGCTGCAAGTACAGGCCTGCCGTGATGGTTTGGCCCACTGGCAGGAGCTCATAGTGCACTACTTGACGACTAGTCCACCAGATACAAAGCATGACCTTGCATGGGTGGAGAGAAAGTCTCGCTGTGTGAGGCACAGGGTCCCGTGGTGACAACCAATGTCTGAAACACCTGGATGCATCATGCTGGACACACTTTTCATCGCTGGTAAGTATATGGATGCACTGCGGTGCTGAGTACGCAGTGAAAAACAGGCAGCGACACGCTGTTGCTTGTTTGCATCAAGTTGTGAGTTGAGGTACCCACTTGTTCAGCTTGTATGCCTTTCCTATGCAGTGCAAAGAGTCTGATCGTTTCATCAGATATCTGGTAGATTGCAGTAAGTTCACCACGTTTGGTTACTGTCACTCTCTATGACTGCTCTCAGGGCCTCATCGTCCAGTGCTTATGGCCGACCGCTGCATGGTGCATCACTAAGAGACATATCTCCTGACTTGAACTTCTGGAAACATTGTCTAGCAGTTCATTTGTTAACGGCATCATTCCCAAAGGCCTAGCAAATTCAGCGACTTGATGCTGCTCCTAACAGGGCCACTTTAAAATAATACAGCAAACAACTCCGAATGAGCACTTTTGACGCGTCCATTTCAATCAGTTGCTGTGTAAGTTAAGTACCGATGCAACGCACTTTATACTGTTGTTCAATGTCCAGACTCCAATCCTAACCAATCCATCACCAGGTTTGGCGACTATTTTTATGTTGGACTCACTCTTCCAATGTCATATCAGAAACAACAAGAACTTTTTTGGTTACCTTGTATTAATGCATTTACTTTTTTTTGGGGGGGGGGAGTGTGTATATGTCTAACAGATTTTAAATTCTACTGTTAATCTGTTAATGTAGTCTAGTCTTATTATAAGAAACTGAGAAGTGAAAAGAAACTTTTGAATGGAGCAATATTAAAATATGGGTAGATTTTACACTTATAAGAATATAAGAAAAATCTAATTTTGGATATTATAAAGTTCAAATTTATTTTATGAACTCTGTTTACAGGTATTCTTTGTTTTTTGTAATACTGATAGGTTTCAAATTCTATTACAATGTAAAGAGTTTGTTAGTTTTATTCTTAAAGATAATAATTCAGAAGTTCCATTTCTTCAAATTTTCCCAATACAAAAGAAGAATTTCTGGCATTTGATATTACTTCAGGCTGAACAGATAATAATATTGCATAAGAATTAATTTACAGTTCAGAAACATACACATATATTCTTTTATTAATGTCTCGGATAAGATATGTTCCCTTCATTGTACTTAATTGTACATGTTATTTTCTTTCATATATAGAAATTTTGTAATAATTTTATACATACTAAAATGGTCAGCTAAATACTATTACAACATACATGTTGTTTCGGCCCCCAGAGTCGTCTGCCTGTCTGTGAGATCTTATTTCGCAATGCACAGATGGTATGCGCAGCTCGCATTTTGTTTTTGCATTCTTGTAAACGCTAACTGTAACTTTCACACTTTACTTTTTGTTGTGTTGTTGTTCTAAAGTTGAAATCGCAATAATAAAAGTTAAACTACAGTCGACTCACATTGATGTATTCTTATGTTTAATTATTTAAATTTAAGATACTGCTACGCTACACATGTATTATTTCCCAAATTAAGATTTTTGAAATTAATTTATTTCAAATTAGTTATTTTCCTTCAGGAAAAATAATTAATTTGAAATAAATTAGTTTCCATTCCTTAAATTAATAAATATAATTCAATCAAAAGGAAAAATAATTAATTTGAAATAAATTAGTTTTTATAAGCTTTCATTCCATAAATAAATAACTATAATTCAATCAACACTCCTTCATTAGAAGTACAAGAAATTACAAAGTTCAGATTTTGAAAACTATACCAGCTGAATTTTATTAATTAAAAATTTAAGTTAGCTCTAAATATTTAATTTATCTGTCATGCTCTCTTACATCAAGGAATAAAAAACATTATAGCATGTGTTTTCTTTTACAAATACTAATAAGTTTTACTAAATGAAAACCTAATTCTCATCTTTTTCATCTAGCAAGTGCTTACATCTATCTTATTATATCACAAAACTAAAACAGAAAAGTTTCCTTACTTGAATAATAACAAAATCAGATTGTATAACTATCAAGGAAGATGCATCTATAAGAGACTGTGGAATACTCTTCTTACGAAGATTAATTTTTCTCCAAAAGTCTGGACTCAATTTTTGACCTGAAGACTTACAAGCTTCTACCTCTTCTTCTAAAGAAATGGGATTAACAAAATGTTTACTCTGGCTGCTTGTTTTTATTTTTGGCACAGTTGCTTTGTAAACAACAATTCCAAAACCCATCCATAGCATAAGAATTACTACAGTAACAAATACAGTTCGTTGGCCTGAGAAATAAATCACATAATTAATATCAATCATCAGCAGAAAATATGTCATTTAAAGCTAAGCCAATGATTCACAACACTTACTTAACTCCATATTAAACTCTTATTTATGTTGTCAATTAAGATATTTTAGAATATTGTCATTGTCAAACCAATATCTGCTTTGTGCACGTCTATCACATAGCAGTTTTTAATTGACAATATTCTGGCTGATGAATAGCTTATTCCCACAATTCACCGTATAATCCTTAGAGTCACATAGTAGTCTTTTTATATGAAAATTTGGTTAGTAAACTAGTCATAGTAATCAAAATGTCAAAACCTCCAAAAAGTGCATATGGCAAATATTGATTTGACAATAACAATATAAAATTTCACAGACTGCAACAATGCAAAAATTTTGATTATTATAAAAATATTTACTATGCATTTTTATTATGATCTTAAATACAGAGCAAGGTATAGATATAAGTGTCATGAAATTTGTTTTGAGAAATAAATCAAATTATATTGCAAATACACGTAGGAATTTAATTTATATCCTTCTCTCCTCTCATATACATTTCAGCAAGTCTAGAAAAAAAAAAAAAATAAAACTATTAAAAAACAAGGCAAGTTTAATTAAATTTAAAATCATACAGAAAACGAATCAGTTTTGACAGTAAAGAGAAAATGGTGCTTTTTGATCATCCACAAACCCCTCTAAAAAGTAAGCAACTCATTGTGACTACCTTTTTCCCAATCTAATATGTAAAAAGAAACAGCTATTTTGAAAATGGTGGCATACTAAGAAATCCATAAAAGAGCAATGAATCAATAAAATTAAAAAGGCAAGAAGCATTCATAATAAAATACATAATTTTTCCCCTGTTGTTTGTTCTCTCCATGTTAATAGTGATCTCAGAACATCAAAGACATCAGAAAACATAAGTGAACTGTACAAATCTGATCCATAAAATTTGATCATTTAAGAAGTACAACTTCATGGGATGTAGTAAATTTTTGCATTCTCTGCTGTTAAACTAAACACCATATTTCTGAAGAAATGCAGGGCTTTTTCATCAGCTGGAAAACTCCAAAGTTTCATTTTAATGCCTTACAAGGAAAAAAAAGTCCCCTTGGTGCAAAAATAAACACTAAGGAGAAAAATAACCACTGAATTTGAAGTTAGGAATTCATATTTGTCTGCTGAACATAAATACCTGAGTTGCCACATAAATACATTTTGGTGATATCACAGATTCCCTGTTTTGTCAATATAGTTCATTGTCTCATGAATACTTTTCAGGAGGGGTACAAATAATCAGAAAGAACTGGAGAAAACAAACAAAGAATATAAATAATTTAAACTTAATTAATCTACAGCTGAACATGTAATTAGTATTCAGCCAACAGATGTTTGAAAGTGACATACAGGAATCTTAGTTAGTCAGAAGAAAAATTGCTTTTATGGTCCATCATCTTTTTCTTGAGTATTATATTTTCCATTGCTATATTTTACAAGAGAAAAAAAGTCCAGAGATCCAGATATTAAACCATTCTTGGCTATCAGACGTCCAGATTTCAGACTTTGTACTGTAATTTCTAAACTCAGCATTTTTCTCCTCATAAATCTCACGAAAGAAACAATAATAATATTAACATAAAATATGTAGGAGAAAAGGAGGCATCTTTCCCGACTTTCACTAGTTATAGAAAGATAAACAAATTTGAAAATAGTCCTAAATTTTTCTGCTATTAGTTTCTTTCTGTCCTTTTCCAATAATGCTTTAAGTTGCATAAAACAGTCCTTCCCTTCCACTAATATATATATTTTTTTTTATTTCAAATTCTTCACCATTCTTTTTCTTGAAATTTCCTTTACAAAGTTAATCTAAAATATGATGGTATAAATTTATCATAAATATGAATACAGTACAAAGTCTGTAATCTGGACGTCCGTTATCCGGAATAATCTATAATCCGGACCTCAAAGCCACAAACTTTTTTTATATGCTTTACGCATGTGCATTTAATGCTACGCGTGCACGTTTAATGTTTACGCATGCACATTTAGCACAAAAAATGAAGCAACTTAAACAACTTACATTGAAAGAAATGTTTAATAAAGTAAACAAATAAATATTAAGCTTTTTTTTTTTTTTTTTTTTTTTTGCAAATTTTGATACCCTTTAGATCATAATTGCTCTTTATTTCATAAATTACGATTTCATATTTTTAACTGCATAATTTCTGCATGCCATCTTACCAGATTTAAATTGATGATCTATATCCAGAAAAACCCTTAATCCGGAATTGCCGAAGTCCCGACGAGTCCAGATTACAGACTTTGTACTGTAGTAACTAATTAAGAGAGTCAGTAAGAAGTAATTTTTCCTTCTTTTTATGGTTAGAAAAACAAGATTATGAGAAATTAAATGATGATTTTGCAGGCCTCTAAAAGTGAAGCCCTGGTCTTGTAAGATTCAAATGGCAATCAGGCCATGAGTATAAGCAAAACGTAATGGAGCTGTATTAATTTAATATGTTATCTATACATTACTTCAAATTAAGTTATAACTGGAGATAATCCCTAACTTTCAATAATTTGACTCAGAATGTGTTGATTAGACAATGGAATGAAAATGCTATTATATTCAGCAAAAACTGTACTTCATATTTTGAATCTTGGTAGCTTTCTAGAGAAGCAATATACACTGCTACTATAAATCCATAAGCTGCCATGATCTTAATTCAAAGCACAACAAAAAGTAACAATGAAACAGTAAGGTTTACTCACATTACACCAATTCTCATTATTAAATTTTGACCTCTTTTCAATTAAAAACATTTCTTACTCAAATGCCATTCTCAACCATGTTTTAATGTTATTTGAAACTGGAGCATGTATTAGACTGGTCAGAAGTGTCAGTGCATATATTATACTAAAATAGTATAATATATGCACTGACAATTCTGATAAATAGTATAATATATGCACTTTCTTCAAGTAGTACATAATTTTGATTTGTCAGTATTAAAGATGATCCTTGTAGCTCGGAATGAATACCATGACAGGCAGTTAAGATGAAAGTTTATACAGTCAAAAGTCGTTAATTCGGAACCCATAATCCGGAATGATCTATAATCCGGACCTCAAAGCTACAAACTTTCTGCGCATGCGGCGCGTTGACGTGCATGCGGCGTAAGACCTTTACGGCTGCGAAAATGCGTGTGCGCGTGCGCAAAATATGTTTACGAATGCGCGTTTAATGTATAACGGACGGTATAAGCTAAGCTAAAATTATCTAATTCAGTTAATGTTGCAGATTGCGTTGTTCCTTAATCTTTGAATTGGATTCGGCTTATTATTTTTTGCAGACTGCTAGAGCAATTTTATAAAAGTAAGCTTGAACTTTCGATTATGTCAAATAGAATTTCTGATATATATTTACTAATATGTAAAGGATCTACAAAGCGAAAGTATGTTTCGAAGTCTATTAAACAAAAAGTGGGATTGCAGCAAAAAATGGATAAAGGCATATCCTTTGTTTATCTAAACGTTTGTTTATCTAAACTTTGTTTATCTTAAACGCCGCGGCGCGCAATGTGTTGGAAGTTGATCTGTCAGCACTATCCTTATCTTCAGGGCAGATGTTTTTATTTTATTTGGCTTATAATTCCTTACTAAATGTAGTATTTCATCTCGATGTACTCCGTCTTTGATATGATTTAAATCAAATTCCTCGTCATTATAATTCGCTTCCGATAGCGAAGAAAGTGACAGATGTTATTGAAAATGAAAAAATTTCGATTGACAAATTAGTCGGTATTCTCGACACAGCAATTATAGGACTTGAACAGCGGAACTTTGTAACTGAACAAGAAATTATGTCTGTTTATAGAATTAAAGAGAATGTATTATCACATAAAAAATGAAGCAACTTAAACAACTTACATTGAAAGAAATGTTTAATAAAGTAAACAAATAAATATTAAGCTTTTTTTTTTTTTTTTTTTTTTTTTTTTGTACATTTTGATACCCTTTAGATCATAATTGTTCTTTATTTCATAAATTACAGTTTCATATTTTTAATTTTATAATTTCTGCATGCCATCTTAGCAGATTTAAACTGATGATAATACGGAAAAATTGATAATCCGGAATCGCCGAAGTTCGGATTAACGACTTTTGACTGTATGTGACAAACCCTGACAAAGTAAAAAAACATAAAGTGAAGAAATGCCTTTAATTTCCACAGAACGCTCTACGAATTTCCTGGGCTTGAGAACATAAAAGTTTGAGGATATCAGAATTTATAATACTCGTATAATTAAAGAAAAATATAAATTTGAAGATATAAAATAAATAGTTTTAAAAAATTTTCATAACCTATTGTTTTATGTATAAAAATGTTTTCTTTTTACTGTCTAATTACATGAAACTTGATAATTTTAGTATGATTAGATCCGCAATTTTTATATGCACTCCAAAATATGATGACTTAATGGTTTGAGTATACTCAGTTTAGCAGTTTCTGTTTTCATTAAGCTTTTATTTTATAGTACTGTGTTACATATTAAAAGATGTTTATAAATATGATAATGCAGTTCACTGTGTATGGATAATAAATACCACAGCTCAACATTATTAATTTTTTAATGGAAAGAAACACTCCAAAATTTATTAATTTACATTACTAATTTTTTTGGTTCACTTCCAGTTAAATTACAGAATTTAAAATTTAGTTAAAAATTTAGTCATGCACTTGTGTGCAATTAAAAAATTAGCTAACAAAATCTTTTAAAAAAAAAGGTCTGAAGACAACTTACTTTCAATTATAAAATGGATTTATTTAAAAAGTCGATTGATCTTTAGATTATGGTAACTTGGCGATTTTTTGGCGAAAATTTGGCGACCAACTCTGCTACAGCAATCCTCTGTTTTTTTTTTTTTTTTTTCGCCGCCATTTTGTCTTCACGAAGTAAAGACATGTTTCTTTTCTTTTTATTTACTCAACACTTTTTCCAACAATCTACTAGCCGAATTACACTTACACTAGAAGTTTTATGGAACAAAACTGCTTAATCATGACAAATATTAACTGCAAAATTGGGAAAAAGTGCAGAATCACAAACTCCTTGCCGCGTTTTTCAAAATTGCACATACACAGTAACCCTGTACACGTCGACTTATTTTTACTTAAAAAAACATCCCAGAATTGCACAAAAATGACATTGCGCACACTCTATACTTTATCCATCTAAACTGCTATTTTCTCATAAATTACAAAAATTTGCACGAAAATGCAGGAAAATTTTGTGAACCTTTAAACTCGGTAAAAAGCACATACCGTATTTATGCGAATCTAATGCGCCATCGAATCTAATGTGCATCCCCATTTTAAAACTTTAAATAATAAAAAAATTGTTTGTCGGCGAATGTAATGCGCATCAATGATATGAGGAATTTATTGAATCTTATTTTATACAACAATGAATTTGTATATAAACTATCAATTAATGGTATGATAATTTTATTTAAATTTAGATACCATATTTTATACAACAATGGATTTATACATAAAGCAGCAGAACATAGAATTAACCTATTAGTGGGCTATTGTCATGTGAAACAATCATTGTTAATTAGCACTACCGTATATACGGTATCTATCGTAAAATATGAACATGAAATAAATCGTAACATTTCTATCTAGCTAACAGTTTCTACAATCAGTGATTAATAGTAAACGTCTTTATTCACTAATGTTTTCATCACTGGAATCCTCGCAGTTCTTTTCGTCAGAAGCAGATTCATTTCTTCTTTCCTCATCATCGTCATCCTCATCCTCGACGTTCCAGCACGTCATCGTCACTGCCATTCAATGCATTTGAAATGCAGCATTTCTTGAAAGATTTCACAATCATTGGTGCTTCGATGTTTTTCCAGGCAGCAGAAACCCAGTGTGCAACAATGTGCGGTGCAGCACGCTTAATTTTTTCTGTCGGGGTCAATACACGGTTTGGCTCACAAAACCATTTTTCGTACTTCGCCTGAACGTACCCCTTAAAAACGTTTATTTATACTAACGTCCAGGGGTTGTAACACAGACGTCATCCCTCCAGGAATGATAACAAGATCACTGCCTAGGCTGTGCATCTTCTTTTTTACGTCGTCGGTGAGATGAGCACGAAATGCGTTCAGACAAAGCATTGATGGTGGATTAGAGAGCCCACCGGGACGGCGTTTCCATACATTTCGGAGCCAATCAAGCATTAATGATTCCGTCATCCACCCCTTCTCTTGGTTTCGAATCAGGACATCATCTGGGAACAGCTTTTCATTCTTAGGGGTTTTAGGGCATGTTTTTCCGTTTGAAGATTAAGAAAGGGGGAAGTTTGCACCCGTCTGCTGTTATTGCCATTATTATTGCCTGCTGTTATCACTGTTACGCGTTGTTTTTCACATCCCGAAGTTTTGATGATAACTTCCTTAGTCCCCTTCTCCGTAATGGTGTAGTTACGAAGGCATATCAAACCAAATTGGCGTCTCGTCAGCGTTGCCAATTTGCCCCATTGAAAAATCCTCTTCCTTTCTTTCCGAAGTGTGATGACATACCGCTGAAATGTTAGTAGTTTTTCCCTCAAAATCTGCAGGAAGCTTTTGGCATATTGTTGTACGGCGTCTTAGAGATAAGCCCATCCGACTTCATAAACCGATCCAGCCATCCACGGCTAGCCTTAAACTCTTGTTTCGGTAATTTCCAAGAACTTCAGTCTCCTCTTTTACTTTATTTCTTATGGTGTCACTAGTCACAGGTTGTCCCTCTTCCTCCTTTCGCATACAAATTCCAAACCTTTTCTTCAGTTTTAGGGTGTCTTCCTTTGCGAGGGCCAGTGAATTTCTTTCTACTAGCTTTAGTTGCAAACAGTGCCAATTTCTGTTGCCGCCACAAGCGAACATTGCTCTCAGCTACGTTGAACTCTCTCCCTGCCTTTCTATTGCCATTTTTTTCAGCATAAAGAATTACTTTATGTTTTGAAAGTAGCGTTTCATATGACATTCTTTCTGTTTTGCCCTCCATTTCGTGACTACGTACTCTGCAGTTTGTATCCTCTATGCAATAATGTGTCAACGATAAATGTAACGGTAAATGTAGTCGAGAAATACGGTAATTCATTGTTACGTTAAGTTTGGTTGACGTCATCGGCGAACTTTGCACTCGAATCTAATGCGCACCCCAATTTTGAATACTACATTTGGCCAAAAACGATGCGCATTAGATTCGCGTAAATACGGTATATGAAATTACCTGATCGCGAAAAATTATATACCCTATCCAAGGATGAACATTTCCATGTATAACATAAATAAAATATCCAAAAACTTTTACCTCTAAATTATCTATTATAAACGTCACCAATAAATTCATAACAAAACATTAAAAATGGTTACAAATACTTAGTGTCAAATATTTAAATTATTTCCATGCACGTTTACTTCCACTCAAACATATAATTCACAAAATAACAATCATTTAATTAATATAATTAAACCATGTACACGTCGACTTATTTTTACTTAAAAAAACATCCCAGAATTGCACAAAAATGGCATTGCGCACACTCTTCACTATATCCATGTACACTGCTTTTTTTCTCATAAATTAGAAAAATTTAACGAAAATGCATGAAAACTTTGCGAATCTTTAAATTCGGTAAAAAGGACATATGAAATTACCTGATCACAAAAAAGTATATACCCTTTCCAAAGACGAACATTTGCACGTATAAAATAAATAAAATATGCAAAAACTTTTACCTCTAAATTATCTATTATAAACGTCACTAACGAATCTATAACAAAACATTAAAAATGGTTACAAATACTTTGTCTCAAATATTTAAATTATTTCCATGCATGTTTACTTCCACTGACACCTTTACCAAATTGCTACAAACATATAATTCACAAAATAACTATCATTTAATTAAAATATAATTAAACCATGTACACGTCGACTTATTTTTACTTAAAAAAAAATCCCAGAATTGCACAAAAATGGCATTGCGCACACTCTTCACTATATCCATGTACACTGCTTTTTTCTCATAAATTCAAAAAATTTCATGAAAATGCATGAAAATTTTGTGAATCTTTAAATTTGGTAAAAAGGACATATATGAAATTACCTGATCGCGAAAAAGTATATACCCTTTCCAAGGATGAACATTTGCACGTATAAAAATAAAATATCCAAAAACTTTTCCCTCTAAATTATCTATTATAAAACTCACCTACCAATTTCTAACACAACATTAAAAAATGGTTCCAAAATACTAGCGTCAAATACTTAAATTCTTTCCATGCACATTTACTTCCACTCAAACGTATTCCAAATACTACAAACATATAACTCTCAAAATCATGATCATTAAATTAATATAATTAAATTAAAAAACACTACTTAAAATATAAATAAGCACATACATTAAATTATAAAAATTAGCTTACAATCCTAATACTTTAAACTAAATCATGCTAATAACATTTTCCAATAATACCAAATTAATTTATTTACTCCTTACATTTAGAAACAAGCATAAAAATAATATCCTCAAATATTAAAAATTTTAACTTATCTAATCTTCTCAGAATCGTGAGTCAGGTGGATCACAAATGTCCATTTTCACCAGATTTCTTGCACGCCATTCACTTCTAACGCCATTCAACTATCTGTAATCTTCCTTTCCACAACCTCATTTCATACCCCATGTTGACATTCATACTTATCCGCAATTAAGCATCTTTTTCAATACACATAAACGGAAAAATTTCGGATTTACTTTATATACAGGGTTCCTGCATGGGATCCAAATATTAAACACACTGGTCACAGAACATAGAATGAAACTATCTGTACAGCAATATTTTTAAAATTTACAACCTTTTCTGATTAAGAACATGATTCATCCTTATGTCACATACATATATCATGATCTCTCATTCTCTCCACAAAATATCTATCGAACTGATACTTCTCACATTATTCCCAAAGTCCTAGGTAGTAACCTTTATCGCCAAACTACCTGTTACCATATTCCAAAGATCAGCCAAAAAGTCTGTTGAATTTTAGAAGAATGTGGATTTGGTATTCATACACATACACTTGAAAACCATACATTATATAGTTTCTCGTAAAGTTTCTGAACATTTCTAACTCTGCAAGCAAACTGCTCTGTAATAAGTATGGAATATATAATTATGGCATTATTTTTCATTTAAGCAACAAGAAGCATCTACAAAATGTCCTTCCCGAATTTTCAAAGAAGTTTTATCAGATATTGTGTAATTCAACATTTTACTAACATAGCTGCTCCAAGAAATACAATTAGAAAGTCATAAATTTATTCTTAATCTGCCAAAAATAATAATAATAATCTATTGGAAAAGTAGTTGAAGTGGTTGATTTGTAGCATTTAACAATTACTGACACAAACAAATATTATTCACATGTATAGACCCATGATGATGAATATGACAGAATTCAAACTGGAAGAAGACATATGAGATAATTTAAAATGTTATATAAATACAACAAATATTATCATAAGTAATCAAATAATTAAAGACTGGGTATTCTCAAATTTGAAGCAAAACTTTATTAACCATGTAGAACATTCATTAATCTATTGATAATTAAAATAATAATCCAACATACTGGTGCAATGCAGGCGCGTAGCCAGGCGGCATGCTGTACCCTTCAATGTCTCTAAATTATTTAAAAAGATATAGCAATTTTAAAAAACTTCTAATATATAAAAATTATATATATTTTATCAAAATTAATTAATTTTACAAAATATTTCAGTTTTGGTACAAATTTGACTAATTAGCAAAGATTTCACATAAATTTCAACAGCTTTATTCTTAATTATAAAATCCCAAATAAAAACTAATAGCAAACGAGGCTACAAATCCTATGCAGCCAAAAAAAATCCAAACTTTGGGGAGGGGGAAGTATGACATCCTCTTTTTTCCCCCCATGACACTTAAAGTCACAAACCTGGAATTTTAACTTCTATAAATACTGTAAACTGTGTAAAAAATTTTAACCTCTGTAATTGTAGGGGTCTTCCCCCCCATCATTACCTTGAAAATTTAGCATTATAAAATTTCGTTTGAACACTTGTGAGTTAAAAGAATATTTTAGAAGTGAGAGAAGAATCATATTTGGTATACATTACATTTTTTTGCATTAAATCATCCATTAGACCAATAAACATAAATGCATTCTAGCAAAAACATAAAAGCAAAAGTTGCTTTCTGATTAGGTAATAATGCAAATTTCAATTATTTTAATATTTTGAATTTCATTTAATTTTTATCTTCCTTTCCTTTATTTTCTTCTCGTCAATTTTTTTAAATAAGTGTAATTTCTTGTAACATTAGAAATTCATTCAAGTGACTCTCTTCATCTTACAGTTTTTTAAATACTACTTCAGGCTTTTTTTTTTTTTTTTTTTTTTTTTTACTTTTGATTAATTAGATGAAAGGGTTAAAACTTTGCTTAGGTTCACATATGTTTCCTTTTAACATTTTATACTGAGCATTACTCTGCAATAAAGACAGAGTTCCTAGTTTAACTGAACTAAAAGCAAGAAAATATTTGTTTTATATTTTGATATGTAGCATTTAAGTACATAGTAGTAAATGAACTATGAACAAGAAACTACACAGTTTCTTAGCTTAAAAGATAAAAATGTAAATTTCTTTCCAAAAATGGGTTTAAATGTACATCATAAAATAATTTTAACATTCCAAAGTACTGTTATACAGTTCATGCTATTTCTGACATAACCAAAAAGACCATAATCCAAAGATGAGCTAAATATCATTTGCAAGCTCCTGTAAAAGAAACATTGCTGACAATCTTGAAAAAAATTCAGATAAAATCTGTATGTAAATTTGTACTAAATATCAACATAACAACACTCTATCAAAGTAATCTTTCACAAGAATATGCGTAAATTTTAAGCTGTATTCCCAAATAGCATGTTTAGTGAAAGAGATCGGCTTTAAATCTTCCAAAATTTTACCTTAGAGAGTGATTCATTTTAACTCCCTGAGAAGCGCAAATGTTTTTATCCAGCGATTGCAGCACAAAATTTACAGACAAGACAGGTTTCCATCATGCAGAAGTGTTCTACATTGATCCAAATCATACCATAAGATCCCCAAGATGTGAAAATAGGGGACAAGTGACCAAAAATCTCCAAACAAAGAATGAAAAAATAAAAAGGCACTTTATAAAAAAAAAAAAAAAAAAAAAAAAAAACAGCTCCAAGCACAAATGGAGAGAAAATAGAAACATCCATGTGACAGGAATGGAAGAAAAATCGATTCTTTAAAAGGCTATACGATTACCTCTGACTGTGATGCAGAAATTACAATGTCTGTCTATGAGGACAAGGTTTTCAAGGAATTGTTGAAGCATTATGGACCAGTATTCTTGTAATGTAAATTTTAGCTGTGGAATAGTTGTTAGCAGTTTAATCATTTTGGGTATTTATTCTAAAAACACTTAGTTAATGAGTTTTAAAATTTTTATTGGAAAATTTTGGGATTTTACTGGTTTTAAATATCATTTTTTTCAAGTCTTTGTTGATATGGTTCTAAATTTTTTACTATATCACTCTTTGAAAATGTGATTTTGATCTTATAATGGATTATTGTAAACATATTAATACTTTAAAATGAAATTTGAAATCACCGACACAAAAATAAAATTGGCAAAAGAAATTCCAAATTCTACTACAATTACCTTAAGTGTACTTTTATAAAGAGAGGCTACGGATGTTTGTTAATACTCCTAAAATATTTGAAAATCTTTGCAATGACCAGGTTTAAATACTGTCAAATATATCTGAAAAAGACTGGAATACAAAACTGAAAACCAAAACACCTTTTTAAAACAAAAACTGAAATTAGTATTAGACTTTGACAGGGGGGGAATCTGATTTTAGATCATGGCAAAAACAAATAAATCATATTTTGAATGCTTATATTAATAAAATGTTTAAAAAATGTAAGCCCCTTTTATTCCTCCTTCCCACCCCCTAATTTTGTTTGACAGTAAATCAGATCACGTGATCTGATTTGCTGTCAAACATGCGACATGATTTCCTTGCTCAAAAGAGAATACATTAATTATATACACTTCTAAGGAAATCATACTCTATAGTTTCACTTCAATCCATTTAAAATTTTTAGATAATTCCGAAAATGAAAAGGAATATACAGTAGCTCACCAAAGATCACTTCATGAGCTACTTCATATTGCTTAACAAAACTTACTTACCAAATACCATTACTTGATAAGAGGAGACGATATTCGGTATGAAATTAACAAATTTCTTCAATTTATTATGCAAATTTTGATTCTGGATAATAATTAGATAAACTGCCAAAGAATAATAATAGAATCCGAACATCTAACGACAGCTACAAGTAGGAAATAGATCCAATCTCATTCACAAAATACCGTAATCCTACTTTTCACATGTGTGCTTAGTGGATGGCTGGAAAATAATAATAAGGATATTGATATCAAAGAACTTTGTTGTTATGAAGTTCAGCTGCCTTTGTAGATATTAACTGCAGCCGATCGCTGATCACACATTTAAAAAAATCGCCAAATATAATCAACTGCGCACAGTTAAACATCTCGGATCTGTTTGTTTACATTTTCTCGTTGCCAGAACTGGACAGATTCTTCTTAAGATTCTCTGTAGATTCTTCTCAAGGAGGTTAGAATAGAAGGAGGGATGGTTCGCAGTTTCCTCCACTATCGGGGAATGAAACTCCGCCGAACAAGCGGCGTCCATGTTTGTGACTTCAAAATATTGCATTACGGCAGTGACATGTTCGTGTTTCTAAGCTGTTCCTTGCATTTATTTTCCAGTAAAAATATGTTAAATTTATAATGAATCCCTCGCTATTTTAATTTTTGTTTTAAAGTAATAAGTGATTCCATAATTTACTATGTAAGCATACAGTTATTAAGAACTAGTTCGAAATCTAAATGCATGCGCAACATTAGCCTTTAAAATGTGTTCTGCATATTCACGGATTTGCTTAGGTTAGAAAATAAATCTTAATAAAATACAGATTGTCTTTGAAGTTTATTGATTTCAGTTTATGCGCATTTCATATTTATTAGTCCAAAGAAACTGCCTTTAATTAAGTTGAATTACAGAAATACACCTATATAAGTTTTTGATACATCTTTCCACATATTCAATTGTGTAAATATTTTACTTAATTTTATCACTACTGCCTAGACTTTGTAAGTTTTGAAAAAATTTTTAACACAGAACAGTTTATCTTAACTTAAAAAAATGAATAATAATTAATATTTAAAGAAAAGCCTTGCTTATTTTAAACCTTTACCTTAATAAAATGTAAAATTGATTTCTCTTACTTTTCATGAAAGTTAAAACGATTAACTAAAATGTTCAATTATACAATTTAAAATCCTACCCATATACCTTGTACTTAAGGAACGAAGATACCAGCTATAACAAAAACATTAAATGTATTTAATATTTTTGATTCTAGTTAATTAAATAACCTATTTTAAGTCCTTTTTTTCACATCTGGAAAGAAACCACATGACATTGTGATATTTTTGACATAGTTGTCATATTACATAAAAAAAGAAATTAATACTTACGTGTGAAAAAATGCCCGGAATTTTTTTCGAGAATCTATTTGTGCATCCATAATGCAATACAAGCTGACATGCTTCAAAAGAAAAAAAAATGTTTTGCAATGACAGACTTCCTTGCACAAGTCACGGTGATAACAGGAAGATGGCCGCCAAGCTTCACCGTTTGAGTTGAACCTTCCCTCCTTCTATTCTAACCTCCTTGATTCTTCTTGAGTTTTACAGAATTCTGCAAATCGGACCCCGGAAAAATGTTCTACGTCATCACCGGATATATACCTTAGACATCTCTGCTGGCAACGAAGCTTGGCGGAGCATTTGATGTTATTTTATTTCGTGAAAATTTTTGCTCAAGCACAAGAATTGGCGCCAATTTCGTTCACGTGTAGCGGAGGTGTGTGTTTATTTTGTACCATTTTTCTCCCTTATTTACTTCTTTTCTTCTATTAATAATTTGTTTTTTGTTATATTTGTGATAAGTATTTTGATTTTTCTTCATTTACAAAATATTTGGGGAAAGTGCAGAATCACCCTCTGCTTGGCGCATTTTTAAGAATTGCACATATTCAGTATCCATGTGCATATCGACCTATTTTCACTTAAAAAAAAAAAATCCCAGAATTGCACAAAAATGGCATTGCGCACTCCCTTGACTTTATCCATGTACACATCGATTTATTTGGACTTAAAAAGTCAAAGAAAACTGACAAACTTCCAATTCTTCTTACTCTTGTAAAAAGCGACAAACAAATAAGTGAGCGATTCTGCACTTTACCCGAATATTTAATTATTATTAAATTATTGATCTGTGTTTGGATTTGTATCAATCTGTAGTTGTTTGTTTTACCGATATGCGACCAAAAGAGATGAAATTACTTATAATTGGAGATTCTATGGTGAATACAAATATTTGTAGGAATATTTACTAGCGAATCTTCTGAATTATGAATTAAATTTGTATTCTTTTCCTGCTGCAACGAAAGAAAGGTTAAGACGTAAGATATCCTTTCTGGGCGATTTTCTTATTCCTACTTTCCTTATTTTCTTTACTCCACATACATATGCTGATAAAATTTGTAATTTTAATTTTTAAATGCCCTAAACTTTTAAGGCCCTGAAATTTATTTTGAAGTAGGCGTTTATTCTCTTTTGAAGTCTAAAATACAAATGTTCTTCTTCAACTTTTTGATCTGCGGATCATCAACTTGATCCATGTCATTTAGCCCAGGCTTCGTATTGACTGTTTGGGAGTACGGCTGACCAAGAGCTTAAACGGGAGTGGACTGTCCCTGGAGCCTTCAAAGAATCTTAAGTTTGTAAGTATATATACCTATAGATATGAATATGAAAAAGGAAAAATCTAAAAAGTGGTTTGCATCGAAAATGTTAATTGTGGAAATGGGTTTCCAAGAATCAGTTCCTAACTTATATTAAGCAATATATACTTGTTTCGAGAAAAACTTTTAAAAGTTGGAGTTCATTAAAGTTATATTCAATGAACAATGAGCTAAGTAAGACGTAATGGTTTGCAATCCTTTCCTTTGAAGATGCAGTAGATAGGAACCTTAATTTTGAGATGAAGCTGTAAACAAGTATGCAAGCATCAAAGCTCGCACAAGAAAAACAGTGTTAGCTTTTTTTTTTTTTCCTTGACAGGAAAGTTAAAAACTTTTTTAAATCATGAAAAATGCCTGATGAATAAGCTTTTTTGAATACATGTTTGTCTGCTATATATAAATTGCTTTTTTCTTTAGTCTTAAGGTAGTTTTTTGTTGGTTTGTTTGTTTTCGAAATCATTTTGACTATTTGATTTTACTCAAATAAATGTTATTTACAATTTTGTGTTTATATTTTATATGGTAATCATTCCAATAATAGGGGCTGGTAGGAGACTTATCCGCTAGGTCTCTATAACTGTAGATTTGCCATTGCTTTGGGGGGAAGTCGACGAAATTTTAAAAGGGTTCAGTGATAATTAAGAGATCGACTGGGGATCGATAGCTAAATATGCCAGTACCTCCTTCAAAGAAAATTGTGGTAGTGGGTTTGCTAGAACTTTCTGAAATCATGTAAGTCGTCCTTCCAATGCCTTCTTCGTGGTCTTGCAGTCTAATGAACCGACTGTGTTTGAAAGTGTACTGAATATTAAAGACTATTTTGCACTTTAATTTCTTTACTTTTTTATTATGCCTCCTAAATGCTATACTGCAACTTGCTAAGAAAGTTATAAAAGGGGGCCGTATTTAGTTTGCTATGGAAGAACTAAAAATAGATGGACTGGAATCTACAAACGACAAGATGGATTTTTACCTACAGAGCATTCAAAGGTAAACAATTTTTTTTTTCAATGTTAGAAAGCTTCTGTAAACTTAATGTTACTGATTTCAATATATAAAACAAAAAAAATTCTGATTGCAAGGGGAAAAAATTTGCTAAAATGCTATTGCATTCAAGCAAAGATGCAATTCTGCGTTAACCTTTCTATGTTTTCTACTACAAGCATAGTTATGTATTTATTTGACTGGGTTGAAATTTCTTTTAACCCGCTATAAATAAGAATTATTAATGAATTAGGGTAATTTTCGGAAAGTAGCCTGTAAAAACTGGCTTCTTTAAAGATGTAGTCGACATTTTATTACGCCAATATTTATATACGAATATATATTTATATAGGAAGGAAATATTATGCAACGAACAGCAGTTAGGCTGCTCTCATAGATCCTTTTGTTTCGCACGAACAACTGCTTCAAACAATGTTTCTACCAGCTTTCAGTCCCGGATCTAGCGGGGGGCAAGCCGGGGTTCTTGCCGCGGGCAGCAACTTTTGAGGGCGGCAAATTCGAAAATAACGCTGGATCGTTTTGGTATGTTGTTCGCTAAAACAGCTGTCTAATTGTAGTACAATGTTAATAGTTTTAAGGCCAAGTTTTAAAACCTCTTTTAAGAAAATTTGCAATTATATACTAAGAACCCTTTTAAAGGAACATGAGTTAAAATAAAGTTAAGTACAGTCGATTACAACTATAAATACAAGTTCAGAAAGAGGCCTATAGAGGGACTCCAGGCGTCACTGATAGAATCAGACTGACCCTATCAGTAACATCTTTAGTCCCTGTATCATTTGCTGTCTGGGCCAGGTGTATTCAAATAATAAATAGAACGATAGATTGTTGAAGAAGTCACCTGGTTCCCATAGAAATGTCTACTGGGAAATGGAGAAGCATTGTAACTATGTCTTTAAGAGCTAACCCAAAAAATTAACCTTGGGCCATCCTGGACAAATGAAATAATTCAAATATATACAAGGCACAGCCATTATGTCTTCAAGCTGAAGCAAGCCATTTAGATTTTTTTGCAGCCAGTAGGCAATTTAAGCTCACCTTTCGTTTGACTCGGAACGGTAGAGCGCATTTTGGATTTTAAAGCTAGATTTATTATTTTTATGTTTTATATATATATGTTAAAAATTTTATCAACTTTGTACTATTAAAATTTTTTTATCATTAAATAGATAAGTGAAAGTTCACTTACCTTCTAAATAGGGCTGCCCTGAACTGCCTTCCGTTCAACTGACTGCTTTTAGTCTCTTTCGCCAGAGGGCGTCCGTGGAAGTAAAGTTTTAAGGCAATTCATAGTGAATTTCATTTAGATTAAAAGAAACCATCTGCGCGTCGAGGGGGAGAAAAGCGGAATACAGAAAAAGAGCCAAAGATAAGGCCAAACAGAGAAAACAAATTTCAGCTGAGATGAAAAAGTAACTTCACGGATCGAGGGGGAGAAAAGCGGAATACAGAAAAAGAGCCAAGAATGAGAAAACAAATTTCAGCTGAGATGAAAAAGTAACTTCACGGAAGAAGTAAACCGTCAGACCCTGCCGAAATTCCGATTGTGCTGAGATTATAGATGGAATTAATATTTCTTGCAATTTGCACGACCAAACAGGACTGCATATGTCATCCCCAACAATCCACAAGTCAGCATTTGAAAGAAAAACCTTCCTCATCGACATCAAACGAATAGCTGGATGACATGAAACCA